GGGAGGGGAGGGAAGCGTCCTGGGGTCGGGGGATGGCGGGGGTGCGAGGGGGGTCGGCAGGGCCCGAGGCGTGTTGGTGGAGGCCCGGGTGGTGGTGAGGAAGTGGGTCCTGCGGGAGTTTTGCTGTTACTGGGGGTACTGGCATTTTCACGGGATCATGGAATTGTCAGAGTTGGAAGGGACCTCCTGGAGAACATCCAGTCCAACGCCCCCCAAAGCAGGGTTGCCCAGAGCACATCACTCAGGAGCATCCAGGTGGGGCTTGGAGATCTCCAGAGAAGGGGACTCCACACCCTCCCTGGGCAGCCTCTGCCAGGGCTCTGCCACCCTCACCCCAAAGAAGTTCTTCCTCATATTCGAGTGGAACTTCCCATGGTCCAGCTTGTGCCTGTTGCCCCTTGTCCTATCACTAGAAACCACTAAAAGGAGTCCGCCTCCATCATTCAACCCACCCTTTAGATACTTGTCAGCATTAATAAGGTCTCCCCTCAGCTTCTCTTCTAAGAGTCCCAGCTCTCTCAGCCTTTCCTCATCAGGGAGATGCTTCAAACCCTTAATTACCTTTGTTTCCCTATGCTGGACTCTCTCCAGCAGTTCCCTGTCCCTCTTGAACTGGGGAGCCCAGAACTGGACGCAGGATTCCAGTTGTGGCCTCCCCAGTGCAGAGCAGAGGGGGAGAATGACCTCCCTTGACCTGCTGGCCACACTCTTCCCTTCGCAGCCCAGGATTGCATTTGTCTTCTAGGTAGCAGTGAGAGATGGGGTTGGGCCTCCCCTCCCCCCCCCCCCCCCCCCCCGGTGCCTTTCTGTTCTTGGAAAGGGGAATTGTGGCTTTTCTGCATTAAAATATTTTATTTTACTGAAAGGTGTTTCATCAGTGTTTGCATTCTCCGACTAGCTAGCAGTTCCTTGCTGTCAGAACCCTTTCTGTAATGAAACTGTACAGGGAGCTCTGAATTCCTGCTGTTAATAACGACAGCAAGATAAAAGTAAAATGGAGCATCGTGCTCGCTGTTGTCACAAAGCGCATGGGTAGCTTGTCCAGCAGCTGCAAAAGCATATTTGTCAGCACAAGGAGTAGATGCTAAGTTCTCTCAATAGAGATGACCAAGAAGTTCATAGGTACTTTTTCCATGGAGTTGTTCTTTTCCTGCTCTTCTATTCTGACTGTAATACTGTTTGGATTTGGTTTTGGGTGCAACAGAACATGATTTGAGGAGGAACTTCTCTACTTTGAGGGTGTCAGAGCACTGGAACGGGCTGCCCAGAGAGGTGGTGGAGTCTCCTTCTCTGGAGACATTCAAAACCCACCTGGACATGTTCCTGTGCAACCTGCTCTGGGTGGACCTGCTCTGGCAGAAGGGTTGGGCTAGACGATCTCCAGAGATCCCTTCCAACCCCAAATCATTCTGTGATTTTTAAACTTGCTTTTCTCCTCCCCCAGGATTATTGAGCTGTGTCATCAGTTCCCTCATGGTATCACGGACCAGGTGATTCAAAATGACATGCCTCACATGGAAGCCCAGCAGCGAGCCATGGCCATCAACAGGCTGCTCTCGATGGTAGGGTGATTTCACCTTCCTTGCCTTAGTTCAGCCAACTTGGAGCACTCTTCATGCACACAGGCCGCATGGCAGCAGCCTGTTGGGCTGGGCTAGCAAATTAATCTCAGCACTTGCCATAACATACAGATGCTATAACTTATGGTTGCCATAACATCCCTCAGAACTTATTCTTTCCATTCTGTAGTATGAAGTTAACATGAATGCGTATATCCATGTGGATTTCTAGGTGAGGAAGCTACCACATTTATTTTTTTTGATGTGTCTGAAGTTCCTTGGTCTTCTTTGCCCTATGTGTTACTTTGTAAAGCAGAACATGGTACAATGATCTAAAGTACCAGTTGGTTGCAGTGCAGCTGCAGTGGTTCAGCAGGTGGTAAGGTGGCCCCAGGTGACAACCTCAAGACCCGCTTGCTAATGGTGGGGAATGAATTAACTAGAAATAAAAGAATGAATGTTAGCCCATGCTCTAATATGTAAGATCTTCTCCGAACCCCTTAAAAATCCTGAAGTTGTGGATTACTTTGATAATATGCAGGTGAAATGTCTTGAGGGATTTTTTTTTTGCATATTCTATACATTTCCTGCATCTCACTGGGCATTTCCCGTTACTGTGTCAGGAGTCAGTAGATGGAGCGAGGATCACTCTCAACTACTACTGCATTTCCCGTTACTGTGTCAGGAGTCAGTAGACGGAGTGAGGATCACTCTCTACTACGTCTGCAGGAACAAGTAGTAGCTGTTTAGTCTTGTTGGTTCAGCCTGGCATAAACTTGAGTATCAGCTCAAGTGAAGGTGTGTGTAGGGGGAGATCTAGTAAGTACCCCAAACATGGGGAAAAAACTGCAGTGAGAGCTCCAGGTACTTCACTTGAGGTGACAACCTCAAGACCCGTTTGCTAATGGTGGGGAATGAATTAACTAGAAATAAAAGAATGAATGTTAGCCCATGCTCTAATATGTAAGATCTTCTCCGAACCCCTTAAAAATCCTGAAGTTGTGGATTACTTTGATAATATGCAGGTGAAACGTCTTGAGGGATTTTTTTTTTTGCATATTCTATACATTTCCTGCATCTCACTGGGCATTTCCCGTTACTGTGTCAGGAGTCAGTAGATGGAGCGAGGATCACTCTCAACTACTACTGCTACGTCTGCAGGAACAAGTAGTAGCTGTTTAGTCTTGTTGGTTCAGCCTGGCATAAACTTGAGTATCAGCTCAAGTGAAGGTGTGTTGTAGGGGGAGATCTAGTAAGTACCCCAAACATGGGGAAAAAACTGCAGTGAGAGCTCCAGGTACTTCACTTGAGATAAGCTGCAAGTACTTCATCTGTAGAAAAGCATTGAAAGGGAGCAGCTCTGAAGAGAAAGGTGTAGGAGTCCTGGTGGACAACAGGATGACCATGAGCCAGTGATGTGCCCTTGTGGCCAAGAAGGCCAATGGCATCCTGGGGGGCATCAGGAAGATTGTGACCAGCAGTCTTTTTAGTCTGGAGAAGAGAAGGATGAGGGGGGATCTGATCAATGCTTATAAATACTTAAAGGGAGGGTGTCAGGAGGATGGGGCTGGTCTTTTTTCAGTGGTGCCCAGGGACAGGACAAGAGGAAATGGGCACAAACTTGAGTATAAGAAGTTCCACCTAAACACGAGGAGGAACTTCTTTCCTTTGAGGGTGGCAGAGCCCTGGAAGAGGCTGCCCAGGGAGGTGGTGGAGTCTCCTTCTCTGGAGACATTCAAACCCCACCTGGACACGTTCCTGTGCAACCTGCTCTGGGTGGACCTGCTTTGGCAGGGGGTTGGACTAGATGATCTCCAGAGGTCCCTTCTAACGCCATAGCATGCTGTGATTCTGTGATTTTGAGGTGTGAGCTTCAATCAACCACATAATGCAAATCTGTAAGAAACAAGGCTGTAACTGTGGGGAGAGGATTAGCTGGTGGTGGCAGAGTGTTAATTAATGCAGTTATACACAGTTATGCTCTTGGACTTGCCTAATTGCTTGCCCCTTCAAAATAGGAAATAAGAATTTGCCTGGCCAAGGCACAAGCATCAAGGGCAGGACAAATCTTTTCTGTGTAAGAGATGCTGGTAATTTGCCTGTCTGAGGCACTGTCAGTCCTGGCTGGCAGTTTTCCAGTGATCTCTACTTAGTAAAAAAGTAGAACTTTGCTACTGGAACTGAGAATTATTCAAAATTTGTGCAATAGTGCTCCAAGGTGATTTCTGGGTAGCCATGCAAAAGAGCGTTTTGGTGGAAAGCAAGAGCAAAACATTCAAGAACTTTATATCGCTCACCCAGTGGTGAAAATTAGGAGAAATAATAGGAAGTGCATAGATGTGGGAAGGGTT